AGGGAGGAAGTATGACCCAGGAAGGACGTATAACCCAGGAAGTAATTATAACCCAGGGAGGAAGTATGACCCAGGAAGGACGTATAACCCAGGAACTAACTATAATCCAGGAAGGACATATAATATACAGCTTTCTCAAAGGAAGTATAACTCACACTACACTTAAGTAGGCTTGCAATGTTGGGAAAGTGACCTGTGCTCACCAAGACTCAGTGTGTTCACCTATATGATGGGAATAATGTTAGCTCTCCTAGGGATTGTTGGACATAAATATAAAGATAAGGAGATGTGCCTAGCACAGGTGTGTAACTGTTGTTTATTGTTAGTTGTTGTCCAGTCAGCGCCAACTCATGACTACCCCACGTACAACAGAATAAAGCATTGCCTGACTCCGCCCCATCGTCACCACTGTCAGGGTGCAGGAGCCCACTGTGGCGGCCACTGTGAATTCTCAGTGCCTTCCAGCCTGGGGAGCTCATCTTCAGCACTGTCTCAGGCAGTGTTCTACTGTGATCCGTACGCTTTTCATTGGCTAATTTTCAGAAGTAGAACACCAGGCCCTTCCTAGTCTGTCTGAGTCTGGAAGCTCTGCTGAAACCCACGTGCCGTGGGTGACCTTGCTGGTATTAGAGATGCCAGTGGCACAGAATCCAGCATCACAGCCACACAGCAGACAAGCTGACGGATGAGTGGTGGGTGGTATATATTAGCCCTCAGTCAGTCAGGATTTCTTTCCTACTCAAATACAAACTGAGGCTTTCGGCTTGACTCCCTCCAGCCCAGAGTGTCTGGCTGTGCAGAATAGCAAGTTCTGATAATACGTGGTGCTTCTAGGGGGCGGATTCCAGCTCCTCCCTCCCTCTCTTAGCCACGCCCATCACACGGCCTATCCTGCCTTGCATCCTAGCACCTCCTACCTGCCACCCCCAGCCCAGTGAGGCCATGCATCCCCAAGGGCAGAGCCCTGTCTGCCTTCATGAAGAATCGAGTTCCTTTGCTCATTCAGTCCATGTACTCATCATGACAGCTTCCCGTGCACGCAGTTGGGCCCTGGCAATATGGGGTGAGCAGGCAACACCCTTACCCTCATGGGCTTGGCCTTCTGGTGGGAAAAGTGGGCAAAATATAAACCAATAAAAATGCTAGTGACATCAGGTAGCAGGAAGGCTGTGGAGAAGAATAAAGCCACGCCTGGCTGTCTTAGAATAGCTGGTTGGAAGGCTTCTCAGAGAAGGTGGCGGTGTAGCTAATACTCACATGAAGTGCGCGGAGGGGCAGGAAGGAACCATGCAGTCGCCACAGAGAACATCCACATAGTGGGACGGTATCGTTCTGGAGAAGTGGGAGGAGAGGCAAGGTTTGCACATGGCTGGCACAGTATAATCGTCCAATTTACTGCCCAAATGAGACCCAACAGAGGCTGCAAGGGGGATGGTTAATACTGACACCAGGATCACAAGAGTAAACAGGACTGTCCCAGGCAAGCAGGCTGTGTGATCCCCTGGCCCTGAGGTGACCCCAGGCTTGGGCACAAGGCCTGGGTAGACGATGGTGCTGCTGACTGCGAGGGGAGCCGGTGGACCCGAGAGGAGGTGTGGGCAGTGCTGCGGCCGAGGCGCTAGGTGGCATGGGAACTGGAGCCACAGACTTAGGGACCGAGCTCAGCTCCACCGCTGTTACTGCATGGTCGGGGCCGGCCGCTGGCCTCATGGAGCCTCCACTTCTCCATCCCTAAAGCAGGGTGCGGCCTGAGCACAACCAGGCCCAGAGCGGGGCTGCCCCCAGGCAATTCCCAACATCTCAGGAGCCATTAATCCCTGTGCCGAGGTGCTGAGGGACGGCTGACAGGTGGCCCAGGTGGGCCCCGGCAGGAAGGTGGCCTGCAACGCCCCCAATACAACCTACCTCTCTGGCCTGGTGCCCAGGCCCCTGGGAAATGTGGCTTACAGTGCACATGCCCCTGAGAGCATTACCTGAGCACAGCAGGGGCTCGGCGGGTCTGTGTCCCCATCCTTCCCCCACCCTGGGGTACCCCTGCATCGTGGATGCCACCCTCATGCTGACCTGCCCTCAGCCTGCACTCGCATTTTCCTATGTCCACCTTTCAGGCCCAGTGCCCTCCTGACAGCCCCTCATCCTGGGGGTCTGGGTTCCTGTACTTCCTGCCTGTGGCACACATGGATGTTAAGCATCTTAAAAGATGACAATTGACGTGCTCGGGATTCCCACATGTTCCAGAAGCCCTGGGCCTACTGCCCTGGCCCCACCGGCCCCACCGCCCCGTACTGTTTAGTGGGTTTGTCTTGAGTAAGCGGTGTTCACTTCTCCAAGGGAATGAGATTCCCTACCAGCTATAGTCTGGCACAGCTTTATGATGCATTAGAGGCTCGTTTGTATTTATGAAGCCATAAAGCAGCTCTCCATCCAAGTGCATGATGGGTTCTTTTATGGACTGCTGGAGCCCCCAGGGTTGGCTATGATGTCTGTCTCCAGATGCTGGCCATAGATGGAGAGAATGGCCCAATGACAGGAGGGCTGCACCCTGGGCCAGGCTCAGCCCCAAGCTGTTCAGGTGAACCTGGCATGTCAGCCTCTCCCTGAGCCCCCTCCCACTATAAAAAAGCCTACCAGCTCCTCCTCACCTGACAGACACCGAAGGTCCAAGTTCCTACTGTATGCAGAGAGGTCCCCCCACTACAGCCGGCCACTTGCCCAAGGGTCATGAGACACGTATCTGCCCTACCCTCCAGCCAGGCCTCAGCTTCTCCACCTGCTAGAGGAAGGAGGGAGTTGAACCTGGGGGTCTGTCATTAATTTTGCATT